GCAAAGGTTCAACATCCAGGATCTGCATGGAACTCAAACATGCCAAAAGGAAAAAAACACAAACAGCCCCATTAAAAAGTGGGCAAACGACATGAATAGACACTTCTCAAAAGAAGATATACAAGCAGCCAACAGACACATGAAAAAGTGCTCACCCTCACTAATCATCAGAGAAATGCAAATCAAAACCACATTGAGATACCACCTAATCCCAGTAAGAATGGCCATCATTAATAAAACAAACAACAACAGACGTGGTTGAGGACTCAGAGAAAAATGAACACTTCTACACAGTTTGTGGGAATGCAAACTAGTGCAACCTCTTTGGAAAACAGTGTGGCAATTTCTAAAAGAACTAGACATTGAGTTTCCATATGACCCAGCAAACCTACTACTAGGAATATACCCAGAGGAACTCAAATCATTCTGTGGAAAAGATACCGGTACACATATGTTTATTGCAGCACTGTTCACAACAGCAAAAACATGAAACCAACCGTGCTGTCCATCAAAAAAGGAATTGATTTTTTTTAAATGTGGTATATATACACAATGGAATATTATGCAGCGATGAAGAAGGACAAACATATAGACTTTGCAACAACTTGGATGGATTTAGAGTCTACCATACTCAGTGATCTATCACAGAAACAAAGAATAGAGAACCACATGTTCTCACTCATTAGCAGACCCTGAATATTTACCATAATATTAAAAGAAAGGGATTGGCAGTAGCAGGATACTGCCAGGGTTGGTGGGAGTTGGGGGGAGAGCACAGCATCAATAAAGATACCTGATCTCAAGCCAGGCAAAGTGGGGACGAAAGGGAAGCCCAAACTTTACCTGTATGTGTCTATTGTATACCTAATCCTGAATTGTACCCCACATCTTTAAAATTAAAAAAAATAAAAATAAAAATAACTCAAAATGTACATCATCTAATAAATAAAAGGCATACCCATACAATAGAATATTATTTGGCAATAAAAAGAAATATAAGTACTGGGACATGATAAAACATGGATAGCATTATGCCAAGTGAAAGAAGTCAGTTTCAAAAGATCACATAGTGTATGATTCCATTTATATAAAAAGCCCAGAATAGGCAACTCTACATAGACAGAAAGTAAATTAGTGGTTGTTGAGGGCTTGGGGCTGGAGGATTTAGGGGTAAATGGGGAGTGATGTTAATGGGTACAGAGTTCCTTTTCAGGGTGATAAAAACGTTCTAAATTGTGGTGATGGCTGTACAACACTTAATATACTAAAAACCATTGTTTTCTTGGTGAACTGTGTTTTGTGAATTGTATATCAATAAAATTGTTTAAAATAATTAATTTATTGTAATTGGTTGGTAATTCCACTGAGCCATGTGTATATAAAGACATATACACATATGCAATCTGACAATTAAGTTCACAAACTTGCCATCATGCGTTTACGTTGGCAACACTATACAAACAACTCAATAAAGTTTCATGACCCTGGTGTATCAGTAACTCAAAGCTGTATTCATGCTGACATCTGAGGGTGTCTTGCTGAGTGGCATTCATTATTGTTGGTGCATGGTTTTGTGTGCTGTCATGAAAATGTCAGAGCTTGAATTTGAACAATGAACAAATATCAAATTTTTTGTTAAGCTTTGCAAGAGTGGAAGTGAAATCAGGGACATGTTAGTCCAAGTTTGTGTAGATAATGCCATGAAGAAAATGCAGTGTACAAATGGATCAAATGTTTTTCTGAGGAGAGAGACAGCATCACTGATGAAGAGAGGTTAGAACAGCCAGTAACAAGCAAAATGGATTAAAACATTGCAGCAATTCATCAAATTTTGTGTCAGAATTATCGGCTAACTATAAGCACAGCAGACCAAATAAACATCAATACAAAAACTGTCAGGAAAATCTTAACTGAAAATCTTGGCATGAGAAAGGTGTGTGTAAAAAATGATCATATCAATGCACCAGCTCACACAGCACTGTCTGTGAGGGAGTTTTTAGCCAACAAATAACTGTATTGGAACACCCTCTCTACTCATCTGTTCTGGCCCCCAATGACTTTTTCTTTACCCGAAGATAAGGGAAATACTGAAAAGAAGACATTATGATGATGTTTAGAACATCAGGGGTAATACGATAACAGTTCTGATAGTCATTCCAGAAAAAGTGTTCCAAAACTGCTTTGAAGGGTAGACTAGGTGTTGGCATTGGTGCATAGCTTCCCAAGGACAGTGCTTCAAAGGTGACCATAGTGATATTCAGCAATGAGGTATGTAATACCTAGTCTAAGATGAGTTCGCAAACTTAATTGTCACATCTCATATATAACTAATTATAACATGAAACAGAATGTATGAGCTTAAATTAAAAAAAAACACTTTAATGATTTCATCTTTGCTAAACTGTAGCATACAGACTAGTGCCTGGAACACAATACATATTCATTGAATGGATGAGCGCCAACATTGCAATGTTAGACCCTGTTATGAACAGAGAACAAAAGCTAATCTAGCATCACCATGCTTATTTTGAGTTGCTAACAAAATTTTCATCTCAAAATGTCACGTAAGAATAATTCTGCCGGGCTCAGTGGCTCAGCCTGTAATTCCGCACCTTTGGGAGGCTGAGGTGAGTGGACTGCCTGAGCCTGCGGGTTCAAGACCCGCCTGGGCAGGGAAACCTCATCTCTACAATAAATCAAAAATATCAGCCAGACGTGCTAGTGCACGCCTGCAATTCCGGCTACTCAAAAGGCTGAGGCGGAAGGATCGCCAGAGCCCAGCAGGTAGAGGCTGCGGTGGCCAAGAGCGACCACTGCACTACAGTCTGGGCGACAGAGTGAGATTCCAACTCAAAAAAATAAAAATAAAAAAAGAGTAATTCTATATGACCCTTACCAAGAGGAAACAATAAAGGATGGACAAAAAAATAAGGATAACATTACCCAGGATTTTGGTCAACAGAATGGTAAATAATGTGAAAGGTCAATCCCCTAATGAAGTGGCAGCAGGAGCATGTGACTGGGGATAAGCGCGAAAGCACTTTTCAACTCTTTCAGTGAATGATGAGTTGCAAAAACCAGATTTTGGACTAAACTCATTTTAGCAAATTGATCCAACAAGTTTTATTCCATATTTTCCTCAGTCACATTTTCTTTACCCTTGCTACCAAATTCAGAGACTTCATTTGCTCTCCTAGTTTCTGAGTCATAGTATACCTGAAAGCAATGACATTTTACTTTTTTTTTTTTTTGAGTTGGTGTCTCATTCCGTCACCCAGGCTGGAGTGCATCCAGGCTGTCATGGCACATTCATGGCCACCACAGCCTCAACCTGCAGGGCTAAGGCGATCCTTCCACCTCAGCCTTCCAAGTAGCCAGAACTACAGGCACATGCTGCCACACCCGGCTAATTTTTTGATTTACTGTAGAGATGCGGCCTTACCAAGTTGTCCAGGCTGTTCTTGAACGCATGGACTCAGGCAATCCCTCACCTCAACCTCCCAGATTGCTGGGATTACAGGCTTGAGCCACCATGCCCGGCCAGCATTTTCCTTTTTAATAGTTATCTCTCTGTTCAGTGATGCCAGCAAGTCTGGATGAGGCCAGGATACCATCAAACTCTATTTCCTACATTCTCATCACCAGATAAACAGACATCTGACTGCCATGTGTTTCCCCTTTCAGTTTCCTCCATTCTCACTCCAAATTCACAATAATGTCCCAATTCACTCTTGCATTCCAATACATTCAAGCATCAAGTGACCATGATTAAACTTTAACTCATCCCCTGACTCTGATTTTTCTCCACTTTCATTCTGTATTCCTAGAATATTTGTGTTTAAAAACAAATACTGCCCACTGGACTTGCAGGGATGGCCTGCTCTAGAAAAACAATGTAGGCAACCAAATGTTTCAACCTTAGTCAACCATAGAATGTTTTTGATCTTGTATAACTTTGAGATGAGTTGGGAAGATTTTTCCTTCCTAATATTTGATTCTGACTATTTTGAAATTGCTTACTAGGAACCCTAGGAAAGAGGATGAGTCATCAGGTATACTCCTCTTATAAAAAATTTCTTCTTTATTTGATGTGTCAGGGTAGGCATAATCTATCATCCCAGAGCACTGTTAATACTTTTTAAATGAATATCAAAGATTAAATAATTGTCAAGACATATTGACATTTACATTCAGAAGGCAACAACATACCAGGGTCAAAATGAGATAAAGATAAGAAAATAATTCAACAGAAGCAAAAGGAGGTTTACCACAGCATTAGGTACATCAACAGAACACTGGAAAAAATGTAGAAAACTAACAGAAACTGAAGGGTCTTTGTCAACTGTGGTAAAGATACATAACAGAACACTGTAACCATTAAAAATAACAATTATGAATATGAGACAGAAATGTAACATTTATAACCGTATAGATATAAACACACATCAGAACAAAAAATGGTATGTGCATATACATGTGTAAATATTTATGTGTATACACACACACACATAAAATGAATTAACCCTGTATCAGCTTTTCAAAATATCTTTTCAAAATGATTTACCACCAAACCTCTATTTTCAAAGTCTCCCCCCAACTACTCTATTTATTCAGTTAAACTTTTCTTTTTTGTTTTATTCTCCTATATACTGTGTCTTTCTGCATCTCTGCTTTTCAATATAGCTGTCTTTAACTCCTTTACTTATTATCTTAACAAAAATTTCACTGCCTATCATGCCTTTTTTTTCCCACTCTAGGAAAATATCTATATAAAGGATACAGATTAGAAAACAAAGTATATCTATGGTCACTGCACTACCCTCCCAACTCCTGCCTTGCTATCACTGTGAAGATTACACAGCAGTAAAGGACACTTTAATGGAAGAAGTTTGACTAATTGCACCAGCCCTTAAAGCTATTTTCTAATCATTTCTGCCTTCCTATCTATGCATGCGTAGGAAGTAAATATTTAAAATAATCAACTACTACATGTTTCTTACCTGTTGCATGAATCTGATTCTGATGAAGAAAGGGTTTCTTCTTGAATATCAGTACAACTAGAAGAATCATCTTGTCTATCAGGCTCCAATTTCCCTGGAGAGCCCAGCTTTGATTGAGGAAGGTGGCTTGTTACTAAATTCATATCTGAGAATTTCATTTTATTATCTTCCTGCCCTAAAAAGAAAAGAAGAATTTGTTTAAATGAAAAATTTTAAAGTACCTTAAGATCTATAACCTCTGATGCCTATTTAGTTCTGCAACATTTAATATTGCTATTTGTACTTCGTAAAGTAGATCAAGTATATGTAACATTGCTTCCAAAATACTAGTGACAGCCAGAGAACAAGAATCAACACAGCAATGGTGCTATCTAATCCTATTGTCCAACCCATGTTTTTCCAAGATTAACACATTTAAAAATAAAACGTCTTTCAAAACCAGGAGTGGGCAAAACTGTTTTTTGTTTTGTTTTGTTTATTTGTTTGTTTTGAGTTGGAGTCTCACTGTCACTGAGGCTGGAGTGCAGTGGCACAATCATGGCTTACCACAGCCTCGACCTCAGGTATCATCTCGACTCAGGTGATCCTTCTGCCTCAGTCTTCCGAGTAGCTGGGACTACAGGCAAGTGCTACCACATTCAGCTAATTTTTAAAATTTTTTTGTAGAGACAGGGTCTCACTATGCTACCCAGGCTGGTCTCAAACTCCTGGGCTCGAGCAATCTTCCTGCCTCAACCTCCAAAAGTGCAGGGATTAGAGGTGGGAGCCACTGCACCCAGCCTAGAATCTTGTAATTCTAATAAGGCAGCAATTTCATACATTAGAGAACATTGACAAACAAACATAAGAAGCATAACCAAAAAGACTAAAAACTCAACTGACAAGAGAACCACCATATTTATCACTATTACATGAGAATGTATCTATCTGGGCATTTTCCTAAAACTGTTAAATAGAATCTAACTATTCATTATGGAAAAGAAAAACTAACCAGACATAATAAATATTTTCATGTGATCCAATACACATTACAAGCCCATGCACCCTTTGTTATATTCTCAGTTTGATTCTCAGTCACTGCAACCTCAATGACAGTGAGACTCTTTTTGCAGATAAAGACTAAAGAAGCTGGAGGGATGCAGTCACAGTGTTTACAAGAATGTGACAGAAGCCGGACTCAGTGGCTCAGCCTGTAATCCTGCACCTTTGGGAGGGTGAGGTGAGTGGATTGCCTGAGCCCGCGGGTTCGAGACCCGCCTGGGCAGCGAGACCTCATCTCTACAACAAATCAAAAAATCAGCCAGGTGTGGTAGCGCATGCCTGTAATTCTGGCTACTCGGAAGGCTGAGGCGGAAGGATCGCCGGAGCCCAGCACGTCGAGGCAGCGGTGGCCGGAAGCAGCCACTGCACTCCAGTCTGGGTGACAGAGTGAGAATCCAACTCAAAAAAAAAAAGAATATAACAGAGAGGCATCGTCAAATGTCTACAAATATGAGTGAGAAAAACAGCTGCAAAAGGTTCTTCAGTTCCTGGGACACTCCACATAGTGTGCTTCAGGTCTCTGCTGGGATTTGTTTAGGAACTGAGTAGGTGTTTCACATGAAACCACACGTGCTAATAGTATGGAGTTCCTGTTATGTGCTTCCTCACAGAGAACTGAGTTTCCACACATCACTCATTAAGTATGCATGTAAAGGTGACTTTTACCAAAGCACACCCAAAAAAATTGACAGGAGATAATTTATGGGAAAAGAACTGAACAAATTCTTCAAAAAAAAAAAAAAATTTCCAGATTCCTATTATCAAGATTTTTCCAGAAAAAGTTCTAAATATCATAACAGTATAATTTCTAAATATATGTTTCTAATGTCATCTGACTACCAATAAAGATATCATCACTAAAATATAATGGCACCCACTAATGTTTATCTGTAAAAGGGATAAAGGAAGTTAACCAAGACTACCATCCAGAATCTCTAGGATTGCGTCTTGTAAAAGATGTCAGCATCACATAAAGAGGAACCAATCACCAAGGAAACTCAGCACATCCAGGCAACTATCACCCAACTAGCTAGGAGAATGCGAGCAAGCTGGCAAACTAGAGAATAGGAATTCAACTTAAAACAATTTATTTTTGCATATCATCTTTATTCTTCTCTTTTTTCCCCTCTTACGAAAACTTCTAGAAGAAACTCCCTCTTGGGGACAAACATCATTAAACAATTTGGGCCAATTAAAAGTCAGTTATCTTTCCTACTTCCTTTTAAATCTCAGAATACAAGCCAGGCCTGGTGGCTCAGCCTGTAATCCCACGCCTTTGGGAGGCTGAGGTGAGTGGATTGCCTGAGCCTGCGGGTTCGAGACCTGCCTGGGGAGTTTGGCGAGACCTCATCGCTACAATAAATCAAAATGAGCTGGGCGTGGTAGCACGCGCCTGTAGCTCCAGCTACTTGGAAGGCTGAGCGGAAGGATTACAGGAGCCCAGCATGTCGAGGCTGCGGTGGCCGGAGTGGCCACTGCACTCCAGTCTGGGGGACAGAGTGAGACCCCAACTCAAATCAATCAATCAATCAATCAATCATCAATCTCAGAATACAGGACTTAGAGTGAGGCTCAGATATCAGACCGTCCCAGAGACATGCAAGAGAAACAAGTTTTCACTTGAGAGAATATGCATCATGGTCACTTACAGGAGCACTTCAGTGTTGATTCTAAAGAGCAGCAATTACCCTCGTTATATGATGTTAAACAAAATGCATCTTTTCAGTCGATGTTTGTCTTCTCTCTCATGCTCCCCACCCCGCCCAGATATCTCATTCATGCACAGCAATCTAACAGCAGCAATCACCCCAAAATTAATCAAAAAATTAGCCGGGCGTGGTAGCGCGCGCCTGTAGTTCCAGCTACTTGGAAGGCTGAGGCGGAAGGATCACTGGAGCCCAGCACGTCGAGGCTGCAGTGGCCGGGAGCAGCCACTGCACTCCAGTAGCAGCCACTATACTCCAGTCTGGGCAATAGAGTGTGATTCCAACTCAAAAAAACAAAAAAAAGAGAAATTTACTACAAAGCCACAGTAATTAAAATAGTATGGTATTAGCATAAGGACTGCTATAGAGACCAAGGAAACAGAATAGAGAGTGCAGAAATAAAACTTCACATATATGGACATGAATTTTTGACAGGACTCCAAGCATTCAATGAGGAAAGAACAGTCTTCAACAAAGAGTGTTGAGAAAAATCAGAGATGCACATGCAAAAGAATAAAGTTGAACCTTTACTTCACATCATATACAAAAGTGAAATCAAAATGGATCAATGACCTAAACATAAGAGATAAAACTTTAAAATTCTTAGAATAAAACATAGGGGGAAATTTTTATGATATTAGATTTGGCAGTGGATTCATGGCTATAACACCAAAAGCACAAGCAACAAGAAAAAAAACTGAACTGAACATCAAAATTAAGCACTGTTGTGCATAAAAAGATACTAATAAGAAAGCAAAAAGGCAACATAAAGAATGTTTGCAAATATTTGCAAATCACATATGTAATAAGAAATTACTATCTAAAACATATAAAGAATTCAACAAAAAACCCAAACTACCCAATTAAAAAAAGGGCAAAAGACTTGAATACACATTTCTCCAAAGGAAAAAAAAAATAGTAAGTGGCCAATAAGCAATTGAAAAGATGATAAACATCATTAATCACTAGAGAAATGCACACTGAAACCACAATGAGAAGGGGCATTGTGGATCCCACCTATACTCCCAGCACTTTGGGAGGCCGAGGCGAGAGGATTTCTTGAGCCCAGGCGTTCGAGAGCAGTCTGGGCAACATAGCAAGATATCATCTCTACTGCTACTGCTACTATTAATACTACGACTAATAATAATAAATTAAAAAACAGCCACGTGTGACGGCACATGCCTGTAGTCCCAGGTACTCAGGAGAACCAGGTGGAGGGATTGCCTGAGCCTAGGAGGTGGAGGCTATAGTAAGGTCATGATTGTGCCACCGCACTCCAGTCTTGATGACAGAGGGAAACACTGACTCAAAAGGAAAAAAAAAAAAGAAGAAAGTAGAATAGAGATTACCAGGACTGTGAGGGAGAGGAGAAAGAGTTATTATTTAACGAGTACAGAGTTTGTGTTTGAGTATAAATAGTGATGATGGTTTTCACAATATTGTGAATGCATTCAATGCCAATGACTTGTACATCTATGAATGACTATTAAGATAATATTGTATTATGTATATTTTACCGCAATAAAGAAAAAAATAACAAGGAATTTTCCTTTGCACTTTTCTCCATTATGATTCTGTTTTGTTCACTGGCTCAAAGCTTGGCAACAAAAATAGAATATTAATCTCAACTTTTAATAATAATATGCATCAAAATTAAAGAATGTGCTGTGTATTCACCTAGAGAGTGTATTAGCTTTAGATTGTTTAGCAGAAAGTTTCATCTAAAGTAAGTACCAGTGCTCCAACATAAAAATAATTTATTATCTACATAGGCTATCTTAGAATCTCCAGCCATAAATACTATATATAGTAACATCCTTAAGCTTACTTAACTAAGAAAATTATGATTTATCTTTAACTGTTTAAAGGGAAGCTAAACAAAAGAGGAGAATGCTTCCTAAGGACATTCTTCCAATCCTTTTTCCCACAGCAATAAACCAAGTTTACAAAATTCAAAAACTGCAACTTGAAGTTAATCTAAAAACACTCTTTTGCCATTTCAAACAACTAATATCTCTAAAGTCAGTTCCCTTTTTTATATTACAATTAAATGCAGAAACTCAACATACTAATATTTTTAATTAAAGTCTCTCTTACCCATGCATACAGATAATAGCTTTTCTGCAGACTCATCTTCTTGTTTCATTATTGTTACTGTTTTTTGTGACATTCCAACAGTTTTCTTGTATCCCTTTTTGGCCTGATCCACAAGAAGTTGAAATTCATTCTTATATTTTTTACCTGAAATTTAAAAGATTTTCGCAGTAATGCTAAGACTATGAAAGTTAACCATCTACAACTGACAAAATGAATTATCAAGTATATAAGTTTGCTCAAGAACAGCAACCTAAGGGAATCATTTGCAATAAATTTAAAAGCTGCCAAGCATAAAAATAAAAATAGCTAAAGCATCATGGAAGCTTCTCTTTTTTATCTATCTTCTCCCTTCCTCAAATACAAACATGAAAACATGATACTCCTAGTTTGCTACTCTAGGTTTCTTCACAAACCTCATATTCAAACCTTATGCTTTTGATAAAAGATGCTGCTTTCTTAAATATACCCTAAAGATACCATTCTAACTTCCAAGGTATAAAAGAGTACTAAAAAAAAAGAGCGTTCACTGAATATAAAATAGAAGTCTCTGAAAGCTGAGTTGTAAATAACAAGGATATCCACTTCAATTTTTTCTTCACATTTCCTGTTTCCCAGCAGAAACCCTTTACTTTAGCATTCTAAGACCTCTCCCAACCAATGTCACCTTATCTTAGGATATTAAAATAACATAAATCTTTATTTAGTACTACTATAGCACCTTTGAATATAATTAATTAATCCTGACCTCAAGGTCATCAATACTGACATACACCAATTACTCAATAAAGAATGACCAGTCACTGTTAGTATATGAACTTTAGTACATCTGTTTGTTATGCTAAACCATAGTTGAAATAGTTATGGTTGCAGTTTATTTATCTGGCACCCTTAAACACTTGGGTCATAGCTCAAAACAATGTCAAAAATCCTGTAACATTTTTAGAAAGAATCATATTGCAAATGATTAAAATATTTTAAGACTGTTCTCATACAAAGACCAATAACATACTTTTTATCACTTGGTTTCTTCCATTTTCCTTGTAGTATAATACTAAGGTGTAGGGAATATATTTAAAGTAAGGGAAAAATTTGCACTTCAATTGAAAACTTGTGGCATTGTCCTAATGCTACTTTTCCAGAATTCTAGCCATTCACTGCCTTTAAACTAGGTATAACTCTGTAAGTTGTACATAAATGAGAGCAATGGAAAATAATTATTGCCTATAGATATGTAAAATCCTGTTTGGTAGAGGTTCTATTGACTTCCCTCCCCAATACGGAAGAAGTCAGTTTTTCCTCCACTTGCTCATTCATTTCAATATTCTTGATCTACAAATGTGACCACTCAGCCAGGCACAGTGGCTCACACATGTAATCCCAGTACTCTGGGAGGATGAGGTTTATCTAAGCCCAGGGTTTAAGACCAGCCTGGGCAACTTGGTGAGACTTCATCTGTACAATAAATCAAGAAAATAATTAGCCGGGCATGGTGGCATGCACCTGTAGTTCCAGCTACCTGGAAGGCTGAGGCAGAAGGATCATCTGAGCCCAGCAGGTCAAGGCTGCAGAGGCCATGAGTGTGCCACTGTACTGCAGCCTGGATAACAGAGTGAGACTCCGACTCAAAAAAAAAAAAAAGACAATAAAAGTGACTCCTATTTGGATTCTCCTTGGAACACTTTATGACATCTTATCAGTATCTCTCAAATGAGGTTTTAAAATTCTCTAACAAAAACATGTATTTATTTTATATCCATATGAGAATAATAATTTACTTGTATTAGAAAGTTATCTTTTAACATGGAAAGAGAGAGCACTAAATTATGAAGTACAACAAGGAAGACAGGACCTGGATTCCTACATTTAGATACTAATAGACACAGCAAAGACATTCAAGAAAGAATGCTCCTAATTCCAATATCTTTATGGCACATGTATGAAAACTTTCAAAGAAACCTATGTGTTAGGCTGTAAGATGGAAAATTTTAAATAAGAGACAATTCAAATTTCAGCAAAGGTTACTGGAAAAGTTACCTCTTTAGAATCAGGTGAGAGTCTACCTAGAATACAAGCTAGGTGATTTCTTTAAAGTCCTATTTCACTCCATGCATTTGAGGATAATTATCTTGTATTTCTTCAGCTCCTCCGAATCAGTGGGCTAATACTACCATCATCATTATGTAGTTTCTGTTAGGCAGGGGTAACAGTATAGAAGCTATATAATTTAGTTAGACCAGGTCTAGGCCATTTTCCTAGTAAGGTCACTTTACTGTATATATATAGTGGATTTAAGATTTAGTGAAGAAACCTGCTAAAGTAACTGCATTTCCAGCAGGAGGCTTAATGACTTTATCTTCTGAGATAATAAAATCCCAGATTTAAAAGAAACTTTCTTTTTCTTTTTTAAATCTAATGAAGCCACAGCTAGGCTGGAAACACAAAGTAAATGACAGCCACTGCTCTGGCTTTGGCCCAAGACGTCCAATAACCCCTTCTCAGAAAACAAACAATGTCAACAGATTAAGTCTAGTAAAATTGTTCCCACTCAACTCTTCACCTCATTTTAGAAGTTTTACCATTTGACAAGGTATACTCTAGGGTTTAAAATCTCAGTTCTGGTGGTTGTATGTCCTGAATTTACCTCATAAAAGTTTCAAGCAGCTCAGCTACTTGTGGGAGATGATGACTAAGTACATGTTCAACCAACCCATAATCTTCAAGATTTTAAATACCTGAATCATATTATCCTTTCTGCCTCTCCAAGCTGAAACAGAATCTTTCCTAGGATCAAGTCTTCACTCCCAGAACACCTTAACTGCTCTTCCTTATAATCAGAGTGTCTCAGGGTCTGTCCATTGACTTGGGATGTACAAGACCAAAACCAGGTTCTCATAAGAGTGGAAGACTCACATGTCTCTTCAGTGATGCCACTAAAATACTTACTCATCTACTTTAAATCAAGAAATGAGATAGGAGTCAGTGTTTCCCAAAGTCAAATTCCATATATTTTTTACACCAATCACTTATTACACCCAAGCAGCTGGATGAAGAACAGAGTAGCAGTAAAGGCTAATGTTCACTATATTTTTCATTAAACCTGCACTAACTGACTAGTCTCACTTTAATTTTATGACCATAAGTCTCAAAAGGGCATTCAACACTGCTATACAACTTTTCTACTTTTAGTCAGGTTTGTCTGTCTGTCTGTCTGTCTGTCTATCTATCTATCTATCTATCTATTTTGTAGAGACAAGGTCTTGCCATGTTGCTAGGGCTGGTGTTGCTAGGGCTGATCTCAAACTACCAGGCTCAAGCAATCCTCCCACCTCGGCCTCCCAAAGTGCTAGGATTGCAGGCATGAACCACTGCACCAGGCCCAAAGTTTGCTTTATTATGCTTCAAAATGACTGTCTTATACTTTCTCCTCTTCATTCAAACACTCAGGATTCCTGTCATGGCCCCCTCTTAGTTGGCCTCATACTACTTTGAAAAATAGAGTATTCTAAAAGGAATTCTGTCATCTTCCATTACACTCTTACACTTTGTGCATTTGTGATTTATTTTCCTTACTGTTAATATGAAACGACTGTCCTTGCTGTAATTAAAAGTTGACTAACTTTACCCTCTGAATTCCATGCTGAAGGCCTCTCAAACATAGACTGTGTTTTTGAAACCTAGAGTGTCGGTAGCAGAAACAACCAAGTTAAGTCCAGACCAGCATTTTTTCCTCAATGAATAATAAAGAAAGAACATAGAAAATAATATAGAAAGAGAATAGTGTGTTAAAAGTGGTAAAAGCAAAGTTTTTTTGCAAAACTTCTGATTCAGTAATGTAGCTGTGTACAGTTAGTACTAAGTGATGTAAATGTATTTCTCATTGTGGGTTACAGTCAAACAGGTCTGAAAGCCACTGAGTTAAGTATCTTCCTATTTTAAAAACAAACTTAAACAAAACCCTCCCTTGACCCAACAGACATCTCCAGCTACAAACTCATTTAATTGCTCTCTATAACACAGAAAAAGTCCCCAGTTGTCTACCTAGATAATTTCACTTCCTCGCCTCCAATTTGATCTAATCAACTCTAAGCACTTCTGACACCTCTTTGGTAATGAAAGTGGTCTTGTCAAGGTTCAGACCTGTCCAGGTTTGTTGCCTATGAGCTGTGAAAGCATTAGTCCCTTCTCTTATGTAACCCCTCACTGCAACATTTGACACAATTCATGATTTTCTTTTTCTTGACACATTCTCTTTACTAGATTTTCTCAAGCCACATTTTCAAATTTTCCTCCTCTCCCATGACCACTCAGTTTTCTTAGCTGGCTTCTCCTCCTTTGGTCATCTACACTCTAAAATGCAGATTTCAAGATGCAATGGCTGACTGCTATGGATCCCCTCATCTTCAGAGTGCAGATGAGGTCAAACCTACCGCCACAATACTAAAACGTTATTTGTCTTTTTTGTTATGCTGTCAGATGCACTGATAGTACAATAGCAATGTGGATAAAATTGCTGGCACCTTAGCATGTGTCAAGGAAGCGACAACAATCATAGCAGTCAGCAATGTATTTACACAGTCATGCATTCACCATTGAAGGAGGAAAAAAGCTAGTTACACTTAAGAATGTCCTTGATAAAATAGTAAAAAAAAAGATACTAATTTTATTACATTCTGACCCTTAAGTACACGGCTTTCTAATAACATCTGTGATTAAATAATAACAAAAAATATAGCACTTCAGATGTATACCAAAGTATGATGGGAACTTAAGGAAGCATTTGTTTAGTTGTTCTGAGCTGTATGCTAAATTAACTGCGATTTTTTTTATCAATATTTTTTATTATGATGTTGTGGGGTACAGTTAAGGGTTAGGTATACAATTATGTTTCATTCAGGCACCCTGTTGATAAGAGGTGTTTCCCCGTCCCCAGACAGATATCTGCTACTGTTAATCCCATCTCCCTCCCACCCTGCATAGTTTCCCAGTACCGTCAGACATTTTCCTATAGTATTACATTGGATGTTCAAGGTCCATTATATGAGTGAGAACATGCGATACTCGGACCTTTGTTTCTGTGAGAGATCACTCAGTATTATAGACTCTAGTTCCATCAAGGTTGCTGCAAAATTCATGATTTTGTTCTT